CCCAAAATGCAGCAATATCCGAGACGCAAATGGATACCTAGTTGCTACAAGTATTCCACATATAAGCAAAGACATCTTTGGCCTTTTTGGGAAGTTATAGTAGCTATAGCGGGCCAATGATAAAATACTAGGTCTATAGGTTATGTACAACTTGATATGTATGTGTATACAGCTAAGAATACCAAAAACGAGCAAAACAGCCAGTATTCAATGGAGATACCAAAAACAACAAACGCAGTAGGCCTAGCTGCCAAACGGCTGTTTGAAGGACCCTGTAAAAGTAGGTAGAAGTAATGATTTTGGCAGGGAAAAAGGGGTGCTAGGGGGTCGGCAGGTTTTTTCTAGGCCGCGCGCTTCATCCTGCGGCTAAGCGGGCTAGAGCCTGCCTGGTTAGATGTACGCATATCATCGGCCAGACTCGTTGTTTGTTGTTGTGATTGGGCTAAGTGTTACGCCACTTCAAGACTTGAAGGTCCTACGCAAGCCACAAACATGTACAAGCTTGCTTCCGACGACGACAGGAATGTGGTGAGGTGCAGATGACGAGCCGGCTGATCTGATATTCGTGCCATCAAGCTTGGCTGCTTCACAGTTTTCAGTTCGTGACGCTGCCCCTCAGCCTACCAAAATAGGTAGAAGGTCGGCTGCTCACACAAACAGATGGGGAAACTAGTAGAATTACAGAGGCTGAACAGTAGGCCAGAAAAAAACAATACGCAGAGCGAACCCCTCTTATGTTAAAGCCTTGCCTAGAGGGAATGGCTTCATGCAACTGCTCTCACCCCCTCTGCGGATTAATTTGTAGATCGTGATAGACCTATGTAACCACGGAATCCTGGCCAATATCCCCGGAACCCAGCCTGCCATTCATAAGTAGCAATTGTTGATACTTCAAGCCTGTGGCAGCACAACGTCGTACCCGCAGAGCTAAGTTCGAGGTGGTCGCATTCTGCATGAGGACGATTCGGCCCGGCCTCGCTAGTCGGAGCAGTGTAACTCCATTATCTAATACGCAGCATTGAATATTGTTTTGGGGTAAATGAATGCAATATCGTGATCCACCCGGTCTTAGCTGGGAGAAGGCTAGGTCCCGGTATGGGGCTTGGCTGTCAAGAGTTATTTAGAGGGTCGCATTCAGGCGTCGTGAAGAGTAGTAAACTTTTTAACTGAAGTGATAGGTGATCCAAACAAATGGTGTGCAGTTCATTTTTCTCCCACAGACCGATACCCTCTCGGTCCATTATAGACTGCGCTTCATGCACCTTATTGTCACAACACTTCGTCTGTTACGCTTTTTACCTCACTCGCGATTGCTATCTAGAAACCTTTTATCAAACTTACCTATCTCGTGGATTCTCTGATCTCTGATGAGCACTCGTTCGGATTTGAAAGGGATATGGACCCATATCACACACCAGCCCTCCCTCCGCCCGATGGTGTAGAGTCCAATTTCCGCGACTATTATCCCATTAACGGGTCACAGATTGCACTGGCGACCGTACTCTTGACGCTATGTGTTGCCGCAGTATCTGCTCGGAGCTACACACGAGCGCGTATTCTGAGGGAGTTCGACCTCAGTGACTGTTAGTGGCTACGATATATACAAGAGGCACTTGATAATAATACAAAGCTAACGGACTTTTAGGGGCACTTATATTCGCTTTGGTAAATTTGGTCTTTTTTGGCTTGCATCAGGTACCCGGCTGACTTTCGATAATGACTAGCTGCTCTTCGGAGTTTTTACTGCCTTGAAGCTCGTCGCGAATACATACGGGCAAGGATATCATCAGTGGGATGTGAACATTGTAACTTTGCAAAGTTTCCTCTTGGTAAGTCTGTTCCTTTTCGTTATCATCAATACAAATTCCTACATCCAGGTTTTCAGGTGATAGGCGACGTAAATAAATAAAAATGAGCAATATTCGAAATTCACAATTTGCTGACCTTAAAGGTGCGATACAGATGCAGAACTTAGTTGAGATCCTCTACTGTCCAACAATGCTTCTCGCCAAGTACACCGTTCTGCGGCAGATCGAACTCATATTCTATAAACACCGACATAAAAAAGCTGCTTCCAGAATCATTTTGGGCCTAATCTGGGCGAATTCGCTCTTCTACGTGTCCATATTTTTCACGTTCTTGTTTGCATGCGTTCCTCGGGCCAAAATATCCAACCCGAACGTCGAGGGCCACTGCATTGATACACATGCTAGTATACTTGCGACCAGTGCTATCAACGTCGTGTCGGACTCTACTATTCTCATTGTTCCGCTCCTGGCGGTGTCGCAGCTGCAAATGCGGCCAAAGGCGAAATTCGGAATCTCAATCGTCTTCGCTGTCGGTATATTGTACGTCACTTGTTCGGTCGAACTTTTAATCTACACTTTGGAAAGCAAAACGACAACTGCTGACGAAGAGGATTTTATTAAAGTGCCACCATTGCCTGTATCGTCAGGCTATACTACGGCATCGAGTTAACCCGCGCCGACGACGCTACATGGCTCATCGAGGGTGTCGGCACTTGGGCGTACGTTCCCTGCTTCCTCGCCGTCTTTGAAGAGATATCTGTAACAACATATGCTTACCGACATATAGGATCATAGAGTTTGCCACCGTTATCCTAGTCGCCTGCTTCCCTTTATTTCCACGCCTTTACAAGGAACTGTTCAAGCAGGATAAACGCTCCCCCTTCGAGCTTGCAGAGAGTTCTAGAGGGTATAAAAGTAAATCAAGCTACCTGTCACTGCAGACGCCGAGCTCTAATGCTAGAAATGGGAGTAGCACAATAGAGTTAAACCACGTGTAAAGGACAATTTAGCATTTATATCAGTGAAACAGTGTACAGGATTGATCAGCCGATCCACTGTTTGGTCAACGATAGTTAAGCAGTAACCCCATGATAATAGTACAAATACTGGTTAAATTTAATGAACGCACATTGTGGATTACAAAAAGTAGATGAGTTGACTAGGGTAGAGGTGATGATGTTTATCAGGCTATAAAAGAGACAAAAAGAAAGAAGAACGAGAAAATGAGTTATGAGATTAAAAGACAGTCGCTTGCAGGTTTGTAAAAGTAAATAATAAGTGAAGCACGACCTGAGAATACTCTCCCTATTTAAACAAACCTTAAACACATCGGCCTATAAGAAGCACGTAGTGTCTCAACGTTAAAATCCAGGCATCGATTGCATACATCTCAGTTTATTCCCTCGATACTGCTGTTAGTCACTTGTAATTGACTATGAGTCGTTTCTATCAGTCTCAAGACCCCCTACCCCTGTACCTCTTCATCAATCCTCTCATGCACATACATTATTGAAATAGAGCAGTGTATTTTGGTACAACAGTGTAGCTGGTTGTTTCTATTTTATATATTAGGCCATTGATTCTGTGCATCTTCCTACTAGTTGACTAAGCTTCTCTACTTAACCAACTCACAAGTTATTCGTTATTTATACTAGGCAGTCAATTGGTTCTTTCCACTGTAACAATATAATTATGTATATATCGCGCATACACCTTTATTGTCTACAAGACCAATACGGCGTCATTTTTTCCGTCATAGTTATGGGCCCTTATTCTTTCCATTAGCGTAACGGTATTCGTGCCTAACGGACCATGATGTGGAGAGTAGAAGGTTTAGTTAGCGCAATGGTACTGTATAGTTTTGATAATTTTGTGTTAAGCCTAGGCTGCCTAGCCCACGTTATACCCTTTTAAAAGCGTACTTCACCTTTTCGGGAGTAGTAAAATGAGGGGGTGCCGATTGATACATACTCTGGATTAAGAATTTAAACAGAGGATAGATGCAGATCTTTTCAAGCTACTTTCGCGTGTCTGTATGTGCTGCGGTAGTCTCGCTTGTACGGCACATCACATGATTGTTTTACCTCCATTGACACTATTCCAAAAGAGGTAGAACATGGGCTAGGCTCAACACGAAATGAACGAAACTATACGGTATACGTGCTCAATACTGTACTCTAGACTACGATGTGGAGGTTGAGAGGTTCTCACACTGCGGAAACTGCAAAGGGTTCGAGCTTGCGTCTATGTAAGCACTGTACTTCGTACGGACTAGGAGCGGTTACGCATAGACCTGAGGTTACCAAAAAATATAATAAAAAAAGGTTCAGACTAAGATGGTATGAATCGATTACAATAACACGAAGGCAATTGCGTTGCAAAAACAGCTTTGCACCATAATCAAAGGGGTGCCGCATATATACCGTTATCATCTAATTATATGACGATAACGGCGTCGTTTTTTCGTCACAATATATTACTTGGTAAATTCAAGGGACGCATTTGTCTATTATGCCTCTATTAGTGAAGAAATCACTGCACCTTTGTAGGACAGACTTACGAACAGAAATATTTGCTTACACTTTCTTTGATTTTACTGGGGAATTTACTAGTTTTGCAACGGTGGAAAATCGTACTTACAACAGTTATCAATAGCTCGAAGAAGAACTGCAACTGAATATACTTACCGAGATAGTTTGTTAGCGAACATATTTCTGAAGATTTTTAATAGATAACTACCATAATATCTGCCAATGCAACATCTTTTAAGTAGTAATGGTTGGTAATTGGTGATTACGTTAGTGAAAATAACTTGATGCTACCCGCGTGAAAGTCTTACAACTACCTATATAAGCCGAATGACATATTTTTGATCAAATAAAAGTGCATTAATAGATTAATGTAAAACACGTAGTTCAGTGTACTTGGTTATAGGCCGTATCTTCAAGGGTGTAGGTTAAACAACGGTCTTTAAAACGTCTATCACCAACTTTTATGACTTACACTTTTAGAGTAAAAAGCTTATCATTAACCAGTCAATGCAATCCTGAACTAAACCAATTAAAAGTTGGATTTCCGAGAATAAGTGCTGTGAAGTAGGTATATGCATCAAGTTCATCGGTATAACCGTTGTCTAAACAGAGGTAAAAAGGAATTAAAAAAGATGTTAAGAATTCTAAAGCTGCAAAAAGAGGGCTCCTCCGGGATTCGAACCCGGGGCCTCTCGCATATTCGGAGATACCCAAAGCGAGAATCATACCTCTAGACCAAGGAGCCAGCTTCCCCACTGCCACAGACCGTGCTGCTATTTGTGGGCCGATGCAAGTTTTTGGCACTATAATTTATTATACGCCTTTACACCTCTTTTCTGCCGATTGGGGCTTATGAAGTGTACATTCTTACAACTGGTATAAATCAATTAACCGATCTATTGTACAGAGGGAAATATAGAAGCGACCATATGTTAAACCCTCTCGATTAGATCCACCAACAATTTTGAATATGCCTCATTAAATAAACGGAATTTGGGGCTGAACTAACTGTAAATGCTAAGTACCATCCAAGACTGAATATACTATGTGCGGGTTGATTATGGTCCGTGCCAATACTGTATAAAGCTTCAGCGCTCCCTGGTTGTCTTTGTCTCTGCAACTACCCAGGTTTAGTATACTAACAATTGCTACAACGGATTCGTCGGATGGTCTTGACAACCACCGAAGTATCTGAGCACAGTGCCCTGTCTTGAATACTTAATACTGTAGACTAGGACTAATCGTGCTCGTTGATTTTGGTCTCAACCTCCCATACTACATTATCCATCGTCCAATTTATAGTGACCTCGATAATCGCTGCTTACGGTGTAAATTTATGCACGGGCAAGGTTTCAAAGCTCGTCTATATTCAAATACAGGTATGCCTCTAGCCGTGCTGGCTAAGACTCCCTTGTATGGCGCATTGAATCCTTGCGTAGCTTTGGTCGACGACCTATGTCGCGATTAACACTTTTATCTGCCTTTCAAAACTCGATAGTGTTTAGTGATAGTTTCTAATCAGAGAAAAGCAAACTTCTCTTTCAGACGAGTAAGCGTGTCTAAGGGTCGGTGGTTGCGACGCCACAAGACATTTCGCTTCGTCCAGGTTCTTCATGGATTTCTAGTTTGACCGTACCTATAAATTTCCTATTCTGTTACAGCTTTTTCATCAGTAGGGTGCTGCAGGTGTATATAATGGATTCGGAGCCACATATGAGCTCAGGAAACTTCAAACGTGTGAAGCGTTTCTTGGTTGGCAGCGTGAGAATGACGTCGCGTACATAGTGATGTTGACAGCCACGAGTTGCCACTCCCCCAAATAATAGACGGTTTGACTGGGTCTGAGCCATAAATTTTCCAGCCCAACATAATTGTAATTATATTCTCGGTTAACGACCTTTTAGCTTTATCATGTTCAAAATATATGGTTAAGTTTTTCATTCGCTAAATTGCCTTGCGTTCTCTCAAGAGTCTTCTCGTTTTCAATATTAGGAAAGTAGTCGAAGACCGGTCTAAACCCAGGTCTATGTCTGTTGCGCTGTCCGCTAGTAGAAAAATCCTCTTGTATTGCTGGGGTGCTACAACCTGGCTGGCGGAAAGCTGGTATTCTGAAACCTATCTAGCTAAACAGATCTAGGCTGATGCGTATTGTCAGACATTGAAACCTTGTACCTAGTTATGCCTCCTGAACCCTAGATATCTTCTGTGCAAGTAATCGCAACGCTGCGCAGAGTACAGTTCTCCCTACATCTCGCTAGAGAGTTGCCGTAATGATCAGTGAGCAAGGAGTAGCCGATTTTGAGCTTACACGTCACAAGCGACCAGTCAAGTACGCGGCGACCTAGATATGAGTGATACGCGACATTGTCATGCTCTGAGAGGAAAAGTTTAGCTCTGGATAATCTGTAATCATCTAGGGTTAGAAGAAGGTTTCGTCGTCGTTTCAGAAGATATTCGATAGACCGTACATAGTCGACGTCCGCCGTACCCGTAGCAATATAACCTTTCAATGATCGGTCCCTCTGTTCAACATATGTGGTACCGCTAGGCTTAAGGGACATTTTCCAAATACATATACCAGCCGCATGCATATATTACGAGGGAAGATATCATAGCAGTAATCAGAATGATGGGCTTTGGATGCAGACGACCAAACACTTTGATGATAAGTAGAGTATTAAAATATAGTTGGTAGTTTGTTGCAGGCTTGAAATGATTTTTCTTCATTTTTAATGCAGTCGATAATTCGACGATGCAAGAATTTAGAATAGTAGTAGGAGTCACTACCGTTAGCTTGTTCTCGAAGGTTTCCGAACCGTTGTTTTAAGCTATGTATTATTTGTCCTTCTAGTTTCGATCGTCTACTTACTTATACTTATCGTCGAGCTATTATTGCTCCCTATTTGTTAATTGGGAAATATAAGGGCTTTCGTATGCGAGAAGACCGTTGGCGTGGCCTGTGACTAAACTGCCGTGGAGCGAGAAGGTTGCAACTGGGGCGAACAAGATCAGAGGCGTTCGCCGGCACTATGACTTTACTAAATGTTAGAGGTTACGTGGCCATAAATGTGCCTGTGGTTGGGCTACTAACAGCAGCTCCGGCGGCACTCGCGGCATATAGAATGAAATCTCCTCATTCCGCTTCGAATAGCCCGGGATCTTCTAGCTTAAGTTCAGTCTGAAAGGTTGAGACCAATCGTACAACATCTTCTAAGTAGTGCAATACTTATGAGTGGTATGGTATGATGGGAGAAGAGCACTGGATGCGAGTTGTAGACTCAACTATGAGCTCCGGATGTGTAATTGAGAGGAAGTGTGTAGTGAATGATAGCGCGGATGTAAAATTGCTGATGTTCTTAATGTGATTCGGGGCGCGGACCGGGAGCTGGCCGCGAAAACATCAGCTGCCAGGCTATACTTCACGCCCGTCTCGGAAAGGATGTCCAGACGTTGCGGACGGCAAGTGTGAGATACGAGCACCTATACACAAGCGCTGTCTTGCCTATCAGACTGATGTTAGGTATCCATTGCTTGGCCATTTTACCGCGCTGCACTTGGGAATTCTTCGTGACACAACTCAATTCTGCTTGTGATCTCTTTTTTCTATGTATACTGTTGGCCTTAAATCAGCGTTCAGCTCATCTACAGCATCACGAAGTAGAGTACAGTACTCCAGATGCATCCGGTATCAACCCCATTGTTTCTAATGGTGTCCTTTTGTTAAATCATGCCCTGTGTATCGGATTGGCCTCCGTCAACACCATCACCGTCATCGTTATATCAGGCCATCTTCGCTACAGTTGAGGAGTACCCGTTTTAACTAAACCGCTTGAGTTTCGGAGAATTAGGTCCCCATGAGCTACCCAATAAAGTACCTGCAGCTTACGACGCAGGTGCTTCCAGGAGTACCTTCACCTCCCTGACCAGATCCTCTCGAGGAATAAGTCGTCCCCTGTCCTCGTTGTCCCCGCTACTTAACTGCTTCAGTCTAACCTGACCGGCTGCAAGTTCGTCTTGGCCTAGAATAATTGCAAGCGGTACACCTTCGGTCTCGGCCGCTTTGAATTGCTGCGGGAGACGGGGTTTAACCTTGGGACTGAACTCGGCTTTGATGCCAGCCTCCCACAGCTGCTTTGTAATCGCCATGCGATCATGCAGAAGACCATCGAATTCTTTACCACCAAATGCCATAACATAGACTTGTATACCACGAGGATTAGATTTGTCTTCTCCGCGTCGGTCTTTCAGTACCGTGAAAATACGATCGACCCCGAACGAAACACCAACACAAGGCACGGGTTGTTTGCTGTACATGCCAACCAAGTTGTCGTACCGCCCGCCTGCGGCCATACTGCCCACTGTGCTCCCTACTCCATTGCCTTTTCCAGTAGAGGTGTTTGCGACAACTTCGTAGATCAAGCCTGTATAATAGTCCAAGCCGCGAGCAAGGGACAAGTCAAAGACGACTTTATCACTGGCGCCTAAGGACTCCAGATACGATGAAAGTAGCTCCATTTCATCCAGTCCCCGTTTTAAACCTGGGTGATTGGCTTGCTCCGGGTCAGACCTGAGAGTCTGCAGTATCTCGCCGATAGTACCACTGCGTCTAACCAGCTGACCAATCTTCTCGGCAACATCTTCTGCCAGTCCCTTCTCCTCGATCATCTCTTTTTTCACGTTCTCCCAGGACTCCTTGTCTAGCTTGTCGATTGCGGAACTGATGGGTCGCGTTTTCTCATCGGGTACACCCGCTATGGCGAACAGACTATCCAAGACGACTCTGTGATTGATTTTGATCACAATATCCAGATCAAGGGCACCAAAGCATTCAGTAACGACACGCAGAACCTCGGCGTCAGCGATCATCGTGTCGAAGACACCAGCAATGTCGAAATCGCATTGGTAGAATTCTCGCAATCTGCCACGCGCAATAGCTGGTTGATCACGGCGGTATACTTTGGATATTTGGTATCTCTTAATGTGCGCGACCTTGTTCGCCGCTAGCCATCGTGCGAAGGGAACTGTGAGGTCGTATCGCAAGGCTAGAAGCTCGCCGCCGTGGTCTTCAACATTATATATGAGGCGGGCCTCTTCGCCGTATTTGCCCGAAAGTACGTCGCGGAGTTCGAAAACTGGAGTATCGAGGGGTGTTGCGCCATGGAGTTGGAAAACGTTGCTGATGGTAGAGCTGGAGAAGTTAGTGAGGGTCCAACACGAGTGCTGCAGAACATACAAAATGGAATCGCGCAAAAGCAGCTCCTTGCCGACCCAGTCACGGGTGCCCTTGGGCGTCTTGAGAAGGGGACCCTTGGGCGCCTTGGTAGACATGGTGCGGAAACTCCGTGAAAGAAATGACGAGCAGAAGATGCAACGAAAAGAAGTGTTCACATATGCTTGGTGGGGGAATGTTCTAAGCATGCTGAGTTCAGTAACGAGGTCGACCAAAAACCCACAGGTGGGCGTGAGTCATAGCTGCCTTAGGTTATTTGGTAGGGCAGGTCTAAGGTCTGCTGCCCAATTGCCACGCAGATGCAAAACACTTTGCGCATTCTTTGCATTGCTTCCCTACTAAAATTCAATGCTTAGGCCTGTATGGGGGTTGGGACTCTGCAATTACCCCCCAGTGGATAAGGTACAGTACGATAAGGAGATTAGATGAGGAGATTAGATAAGAGCCTCAATTTAGAACACTAACACCTATAAGTAGAACATGTGGAAAGTATTCGGTGTAATATTTTTACATCT